GATAGAGACTGGAGGCCGGTTCTCCTGATCACCCCTTGCCGTGCGCAAGGATAGAGACTGGAGGCCTGTTCTCCTGATGAACGTCTTGCTGTGTGTGTGGATAGAGACTGGAGGCCTGTTCTCCTGATGAACATCTTGCCGTGTGCGTGGATAGAGACTGGAGGCCGGTTCCCCTGGTGAACGTCTTGCCATGTGCGTGGATAGAGGCTGGAGGTGGCTTGTCGCAATGAACATCTTGCCGTGTGCGTGGATAGAGGCTGGAGGCCCATTCTCCTGATGAATGTCTTGCCATGTGCGTGGATAGAGGCCGTAGGCCAGTTCTCATGATGCACCCCTTGCCGTGCGCATGGATAGAGACTGGAGTCTGGTTCTCCTGATCACCCCTTGCCGTGCGCATGGATAGAGACTGGAGGCCTGTTCTGATGAATGTCTTGCCGTGTGCGTAGATAGAGACTGGAGGCTGGTTCTCCTAATGAACGTCTTGCCGTGTGCGTGGATAGAGACTGGAGGCCGGTTCTCCTGATGAACATCTTGCCGTGTGCATGGATAGAGGCTGGAGGCCCGTTCTCCTGATGCACCCCTTGCTGTACGCATGGAGAGAGACTGGAGTCTGGTTCTCCTGATCACCCCTTGCCGTCCGCATGGATGGAGACTGGAGGCCTGTTCTGATGAACGTCTTGCCGTGTGCGTGGATAGAGACTGGAGGCTGGTTCTCCTGATGAATGTCTTGCCATGTGCGTGGATAGAGGCTGGAGGCCGGTTCTCCTGATGAACCCCTTGCCGCACGTGTGGAAAGAGACTGGAGGCGGGTTGTCTGATGACTTGATTGCGGGGCACATGAAGGAAAGAGGCAGGAAGGCTGATGGGCGGCTGGTGAGCTGTGCCGTCCACACCTGCAAGCCCACAGTGATCTCTTCCCTTTCCCATTCCCCGCCCCTGACTCCGCCCCTGGCAGAGTCACTGGAGTTTCTTGTCAGCTCAGCGGGAGCAGGAATGTGCTAAGTCCCCAAAGTGCCAAAGCATGCTTTTAAGTACCTTTCACGTTTGCAACGAATATTTACAGCACCTGAAATCAGCCAGAACCAGAGTGAAAAACAGGAGGGCCTGGCTTCTCTGGGATGAGTGTTGGAGAGGTGCCTGCACGCTTTCCTCAGGGTGACCTGAGGTCCTAGAGACCCGGCTCCTTCCCACACGTGGGGGTCCACCCACACAGCCTACAGACCTGACCAGGGGACGTGGGACCATTCGTCGAGGTGCAGGGTGTGGGAGAGGTGGGGTGATCCTCGTGGGTGTGGATATGTGACCCCCAAGTTCTGGGTCTCAGGGGGTTGGGGTCAGCGGGTGAGTGTGTATATCTGACCCCCGCTAGGTGCAGGGTCTGGGAGAGCTGGAGTCACTGTGGTGGGTGTGGATATGTGAGCCCCCCAATGCAGGAATGGGAGTGTGGGCACCCTGTGTCAGAGTGGATGTGTGACCCCAGGTGCAGGGTCTGGGAGATTGGGGGTCACCCTATGTCAGAATGGACGCATGACCCTCCCCAGGTGCCGGTCTGGGAGATTTGGGGTCACCATGTGTCAGAGTGGATGTATGACCCCCCCAAGTGCAGGTCTGGGAGATTTGGGGTCACCCTGTGTCAGAGTGAATGTGTGACCCCCCCAGGTGCAGGTCTGAGAGATTGGGGGTCACCCTGAGTCAGAGTGGATGTGTGACCCTCCAGGTGCAGGGTCTGGGAGATTTGGGGTCACCCTAGTTCAGAGTCGACATGTCACCCCCCCAGGTGCAGGTCTGGGAGATTGGGGGTCACCCTGGGTCAGAGTAGATGTGTCACCCCCCCCAAGTGTAAGTCTGGGAGATTGAGGGTCAGCCTGTGTCAGAGTGGATGTGTGACCCCCCCCAGGTGCAGAGTCTGGGATATTGGGGGGTTACCCTGTGTTTGGATGCGTGCCTGTCCCCCCCAGGTGCAGGTCTGGGAGATTGGGGGTCAGCCTGTGTCAGAGTGGACGTGTGAACCCCCCCAGGTGCAGGTGTGGGAGATTGAGGGCCACCCTAGGTCAGAGTAGACGTGTCATCTCCCCAGGTGCAGGTCTGGGATATGGGGGGTCACCCTGTGTTTGGATGTGTGCCTGTCCCCTGCAGGTGCAGGTCTGGGAGATTGGGGGTCAGCCCGGGTCAGAGTGGACATGTGACCCCCCCCCCCCAAGTGCAGGCTCAGCATGTGGTCATGTGACCCAGAGTCCCTTGTGCAGGAGCAGAGCTCCATGTCGTGATGGTGGGATGGGCCCAGACCCGGTACAGCGTCTGAGCCCCTCTTCCCTTGTTCTGTGTTGAACACAGCAGAATGACTTTTACCCCATCGTGGGGCCAGGGCCCTTCTGGAAAAGGTTTCGGGTGAACTTCTGTGAGTTCACAGAGCTGCTGGTGCACCAGACGCACTCCTCGGTGCTGTGTGACGGACACCTCATGCACACAGTGATCTGCATGCTCAGTGGCCTCACCAACTCCGCCGTGTACAGCCTGCGGCACACCAGCTCCCTGGCAGGTGACAGGCTGCACAAGGACCTGCTGGCTTGGGGGCAGGGAGGGGCCGCGGGCCTGGGGGCACGTGACACGCTGCACACGGCCCAGCCCAGGGGCTCGTGCTGGCTAGGGGGCAGGGAGGGGCTGCGGGTCCGGGGCCACGGAGCCACAGGACATGGAGGGCAGGGCCCGAGGACATGGGGGCAGGGGCCATGGGACCAGGGGCAGGGAGGGGCCATGGGGGAAGGGGCCATGGGGGCAGGGGCCACGGGACACGAACACAGATGTGTTCTCGGGGCCGTGTACATGCTCATCATGGACGGGCGACCATACCCATTCTTGTGACCCAGCAAGGAGCGGGATGCGGCAGGCCCTCCAGCTGCCCCGACCTCCCAGCCCCTTTCACCCCCAGACCCAGTCTGAGTACCTGGCAGAACGGTCGCTCCTGTGGGAGGTGGAGCCCAGCACTGGGGTCACGGCCCTGGGGTCCCAGCCCCAGGGTCACGGCCCACTCTGCTGGCAGCCATGAAGCTGCTGACGGCGCTGGCCAGCGTGAACCAGGGCATCTGCACGGGCAGGCGCACGGCCCAGCGGCTGTACGAGATCGAGAGCATCACAAAGCTCAAGGGCAGACACAAGTACTACATGGAGCTGCTGGACCAGCGCAGACACCAGGTGCCGACGGGCCGGCCGGGGTCACCGCGGGCGGGAGGGGGTGCACCGGAGATGGGGGGACGCAGGGGTGAGCACTACACTGCGCAGGGGGGAGGGAGGGTCCCAGACGGAGGCGGGGCGCAAGTACTACATGGAGCTGTTGGACCAGCGCAGACACGAGGGGCGGGACCGGAGGGCTGGGGTCACCGCGGGGGGGAGGGGGTGCATCGGAGATGGGGCGACGCAGGGGTGAGGACGTACTGTGCGCGGGGGAGGGAGGGTGCACCCGGGATGGGGGGACGCAGGGGTGAGCACTACAGTGCGCAGGGGGGAGGGAGGGTCCACCCTGGAGAGGAGGCAGGGGACCCAGGTGTGAGGACAGCACCTGGTGCAGAGAGGCAGGGAGCCTACCTGGGAGCCTGGGCCTGGCCCGCCCCCTTGGCTCCAGGCCTCCCCCCGGCCCCGCCCCTCGGCCCCAGGCCCCGCCCCCGCCCCCGCCCGGGCTGCCCCGCGGCCTGTGTGGGTTCCTGCTCCGTCAGCGGGGCGGCTGTGGCCGTGTGCAGTAGCGCCTGGTCCCCCAGGCCTTGTGACCATTCTCCGGGGTTAGGGTCTCCCCACAACACGGCAGCAGGCGGGGGCGCGGGAAGCACAGCGTGGGCCCCCCAGTCGCTCCACATCCCGGCTCCAGGTTCCAGCTGGCCTCCCGGGGGGGTGGTGTCCTCTGGGGACACGCAGGTGGACCTCCACGCCCCTGGCTCAGTTACAGTTCTGTTCTGTCGTTTGTGGGTTCAGTATGTTCAAACTGCGACTCCTGCGTCGTCTGTGTCCCTCCCGCGGCTTCTGTGCCCCCC